CCATTTATATTTTATCTTCTTCATTTTTAATAATTTTTTTTTGACATTTTCTAATTTTAAAATTAAAATAATACTCTAATTATATTTTGACTATTGATTTTTATAATAAACAATTGAAATGATATACATATAAATAAAAAGAGAAGAATGAATTTTTTTTTAAATGATGATTAATTTTAGATTATGAAGAAATTGAAAAAAGCGAATATTAATTGTAATAAATTCACAGACGTTTGTCACAATTCATATACCAATAAATAAATATCAAAAAGAGACATTAGAAAGAAAAAAAAGCGTGGGTCATATCTTTAAATTATCATATATTTTTTATTACTTATTTATTTATGTTATTTCTATATTTCAAAGTAAAATTAATTAAATTAATAATAAAAGCTGTCCAACGAAAAAAAGAGTTTCATGTTCATTCTATAAAAATATTAAGATGTTGAAACAACTATAAAAAATTGCTTTGTTTTGTTAAGTTGATTTCTTTCTTTAAAAAAATGCTATAATATTAATCATCAATCTTTTATTATCTTTTTTCTTTTTTCTCTATTTGATTGTTTTCTTCATTTTAATTTTTTTATTGCAATAGAAAAAGACAATGAAAAGGTGTAAAGAAAAATAAACATTCATATTTGTGTGATTTGTTAATAAAAAGTCACAACACACCATATAAAAGATTCTATTTTACTTTTTTTTTATTATTAATTGTCAATTTTAAGAAATAATAGTAGTGTATTTTGGTATTACTTGAGAGTTTGTCAATATTTTGCTAACCTTGTATTATACATTAATGAAATAGCACGTCCTTTTATATTTCATTTTTATAGAGAATAAAGAATCCTTGCACAGTTCATTACATTCACCATTTTCTTTTATTTAAATACTAAAATATAATAAGCTTCCAGTATGTTCGAGTACGGTCATGATTACTACTCATTGTTTATCAGATAAACGTATATGAATTGAGCGTGAGTTTTATTTTTTTGAGTTTAGATAGTTAGAGGTTGGACATGAGATTATATTGAATGATGAATTTTTTTTTTTAAATGAATAATTTTATTTGATCTAAGGTCTTCTATCCAATTGAAGAGTAATGAGCGGATAATATAACTGAGGTAAAATTAACTATATGTTAAACAAAATCGAGTAATATTCTTTTCTCTTTTTCCTACAATAAAATTAAAAAATAATAATAAGATTAAACAATATGATATAGTGGATATATAATTAATCAGAAAGAAAATTAATTCTAACACACGTATTTTAACCGCGAAGAGCGGCTATGTTCCCTATTGAAATGATATGGCAGGATAGTTTATTTGAAAATATTTCATCTTTTCTTAATTGTTTTTCTACTTTTTAATTAGTGCACATCGATAAAAAAATATTAATTAAACACTGAATTTACCCTTTAATTTTATTAATTATGAGAGGGACTAATTAAAATTTTAAGACTTTGAGTTCTATATTTGTTAAAGTAATTAATTGGAGTATAATCATTAAAAAAAATTTAATTTGTCAAAATAAACAAGTAAAAAAGAAAACTGGACAATAATTGGGACATAAGGAGTATGATTATTCAAAAGAAAACTGGACAATAATTGAGTTCTATAAGTAATTTTTTTCATATTTTTACTCGTTAACATTAAATATTTATTTTTCAAACCATTTCAATAAATCATTTAATAAGTGACAATTTGATAAAATACTTACATCATTAATTATTTTTTTAATGATATACCAAATCAAATTACGACTACTAACAAGTAAAAATGAACGAATAAAGTATCTCATACTATGAAAGTTTGGAAAAATGGTGAAGACAAGGGTGAAGAAGGGTGTGAGTGTTTTCGAAAGCAAGTCTGAATTTATATTGGAATGCTTAATTACACAAAAAAATATTAATCTCATTATAAGAATAACTTACATCAAGGCTTATGACAAACTCCTAATGGATGTAAACCTTTAAGGCTGATGATGTGCTACAGTAAGGAGGAATATATATAATGGAGTCAAAACTCAAGTAACAATAAGTTTGTCTGGAAGACTGGAATGAATTAAAAATACTTTAAAAGTTATAAATAAAAAGTTAAAATTAAATAATTATTAAATCAAAAAATAAAAAGTAGGGAAAGATTATTTTTGATTTCTAAAATTTATTTTAATAGTTATTTTTAACCTTGTCAAACACTTCATAATTAAATTAAGTCATTGTTTACTTATTTTAACTAATTTTTATATTTATCAAATACTTTCAAAAGATAAAAATTTATGTAAAAATAGATTTAACCAACCGTTAAGCCTACCAAACATTCCCCGTATAGTGAAAAAAATACTCAAAGCACTTCCCAATTTTAATGGAATTATACCACAAATTAACCTTTAAATTATTTTTATTGCCAAATATTGATTAAATCAATGTGAAAAATTAAAGGTGTGATTGTCCTAGTGTATCTTATTTTGCGGATGACATAGCTATTATGATCGGTGAAACTCGCAACAAATTTAATACTAGACTAGAAGTTTGGAGATAAATTTTATATTGTAAAATATTTAAGTTAAATACAAAATACCTAAAGTGTAAGTTCAATAATATAACAAAGAACTATTTGATATAAAACTGAGGTTCAATATACAAGTCATTCATAAGAGAGAATGATTCAAATGGTTCGAACTTGATAAGGAAAAATGACGAAAGTGTCATTGTATTAATGCAGTGCAAATAAACTTAAGGTTGCATTTAGAGTCCCGTGTATTAGAAAAAGTGTAACCAAAGTATAAATATAAGTTTTACAAAACACAAATTATACGATACAAAGTATTTGATCTGCTCACATTCAAATAAATTACGAAAATAAGAACATAACAACATATTGATAGACATACTAAAAACACAAAAATTATTACATAAAGATATCTAAAATAACGTGCTAATGACTTTGATGAATGACAAAATGTGTAGAGCAAAACTAAAATGGTACAAATGTACTATTCAAAAGGAATTACATAGATGCTCATACAGTTGTTGCAATTTTAAATGCCACGTGTGTTCTTGCATGAAAGATAATTGTTCTCTATATTCATTGTTCAAGCATTTTTGCCGAATATAACAAATAGCACTAAATAACTTTGTTAGCGACTCTACGTGCTATGCTTGTGTCGGAGTTTAAAACTACACCTGCATCTCTTCTGATATGATCGTTTTATTTCTATATATCTTACGAATAACATTATAATCTTATCAATCTTTATATATTGTGATACCTATCATCACATTACCTCTCAAAGTATTTTAATATTTTCAATTGAACATATCTAATAATTTTTGTTAAAAAAACAAAAATTATCTTTAATATAAATACATCATAATCATCAAAATAACATTTTCATATCAAAATCATTAGAGATTACATTTCAACTAAATTTAAATATCATTAACATATAGTTTATGTGTTATGATACAACCAACTCAACAATATAATATCATTCAAAATCAATTTTATATGTATATATATATATATATATATATATATATATATTTGTTGAGGGAACAAGCATCTAGAGGGGCGAATTTTTAAGAAAAAATGTGTATTATAGAAAATTATTATTTTAAAAATAAATGTTATAGCTATGATTTAATTTAATTATAATTCGTAGAAAATGATTTGTTATTCACTTTTTAATTTGAATTTTGCTCGCCATTCTCTTGCTCGCTGAATCTCGTTCGTCATTCTCATTTTATACAAACACAAGTGTATAGATTATTTTTTGGATAAATCGAGAGAAAATTGTATATACAACTGTAATCTCTTCATTCTATATACTTATAATTATACAAATATAATTTTTTCTCTTCCCCAATTTTCTTTTTTCTTTTTTTTTTCCCGCTTTATACACACACAAATTATACAAAATATGATATATAATCTGTGTTTATAAAAAGAGAGAGAGAAATTTTATATACAAATATTTTAATTCGATTTACTGTATACAAATTCAAATTTTTTTATACTGATATATAAAATATAATTATTAAACATAGATATTAATTAGGACAACTTTCACATATAGCAAACAAAAAAATCATATTTGTACGTTAAAGCAAACTTTGCATAATTGCACTCCATAGCAAACATAAAACTGTATAATTTGCTATACATATACAATTGTATAATTCGCTGGCCTAAATTGTATAATTCGCTGGCCTATTTCGTTGCAATTGTATAATTTGTTTTGCATACAGTTGAATCGAATTAAAATGTATGTATATTGCATAATTATAAGTGTATAGCAAGAAGATATATGTTTTTCTCGCTTTATACAAAAACAGAAACACAATATATACACTTCTGTTGAATAAAGCTAGAGAAAATTGTATTTCACTGCAATTGTATAATTCGCAATTATATAATTCGTTGGCCTTTTTCTCTGCAATATTTGAAGTAAAATGTTTGTAAATTGTATAATTAAGTGTATAACACGAAGATATACATTTTTGGCATGTGCATATACAATTTTTTCTCGCTTTATACAAAACAGAAACAGAATTATACACTTTTGTGTATAAAGCGAGAGAGGCAAGCGAGAATGGAGAGTGGCGAGCGAGATTTTTGGGAGAGAGATGCTGACATATTTTAGCTAATATTTGCTATGGAGCATAATTAAATCAAACCCTAGCTATTCCATTTAATTTAAGTTATTAGTTTGCTATTATATATAATTTTTCCTATTAATTATACATGTACGATTAGTTCACTGATAAACATATACAATCATTACATTACAATATTATATAAATTAGATGCTTGTGATTTATAACCCAATAACAAACTGCAAGAACACTAATATGACTTTTTGCTATTTGTAAAATTTGTTCATTTTTTAATCATATGACAACAAGCTGGTCCATTGTCAGATAGGGAAACTAGAAGGGTAGTTCGGTAAAATCGGGAATCTTTTATGGCAATTATATATCTTTCTCGGTTCCCATTTAATTTCTTTCAAGAAGGTTCTTGAACGCTCTAAAACCACCTCCCAACATTACAAACGGGGTGACGAAACCCTAATCAGATCGAGCGAAGAATAGAACGCCGGAGAAAATGTCGCACTTCGGGAGAACTGGCCCGCCGGACATCGCTGATACTTACTCTCTCCTCGTACTCAACATCACTTTCCGTAAGCTTTTCCTCTTTTTCCCTTTGAGTGATTTCCCTCAATTTCCGATCGTTCTTATCTTGTTTGTTTATCGTTTTCTTGTTTAATAGGTACCTCGGCGGATGATCTCTTTCCTCTTTTCGACAAGTATGGGAAGGTTGTGGATATCTTCATTCCCCGGGACAGAAGGTTCTTGAATCTTTTTTTGCGTTTTTTAAAATGAAATTAAAGAATTTTAAATTCGATACTTAGGAAAAGAAATTAAATAACTTTAAATTCGGTACAGAATAACTGACTTATTATTCTTCCTGGATCAACTAATATCGATCTGGATTTTTTTAGGTGTATTTTATTCTCTATGAAACTATTCATTCTGCTCTTTTTAGGACGCTTGCCCAAAAGAGTTAATTAGTATTCGGACTAAATTAATTGTAGTGTCTTACATAATTGTAAATAAATAGATTTGTTTTTAAATTTAAGAGGTCATTCCAGGGATGACCTTAAACCATTTGTTAGTGCAGTCTTATCATATAAAGAACAGAAAAAGATGAACAAGTACGAATATGTTTTTTATCAGCCTTTCTTCAATGGACATGAATGATGGATGAACTTAATTCTCAAAATGTTGTTTTGCGGTGTACTAATCTGCCAAAGATTCTTCTACCTTCCCCGTGACACACCATGGGAACTAAAAGAATTTGAACATGGAAGAATCACTTAATTGTATTTCAAAAGTTCTGTGCGACTCAGTATGTGTGCATGGTTGACTGATTTCTAAATTTCCATGGTCATTTATCCATATTTATTTTATTTATGTGGTCTTGTAACAGGACCGGTGAGTCACGTGGGTTTGCGTTTGTTCGTTACAAGTATGCAGAGGAAGCACAAAAGGCTGTAGATAGGCTTGATGGTACTTCACTAACCTTTTTTTTCCTCTGAAGTTGCGCTCTACATATACTGGGACTTTTTTAAATTTTGCATGGTGTTCTGAAAATCCTGTAGTAAGCTCTATTAGGAAGGAGGCTGTTTACTTGAGTTAACTAGTCGGGTCATATAACTGGGCAAATGAAAAGCCTAGGTATTACTGAGATTAATGTCTCTAGCTTAGATTAACAGCCAGCAGAGCATGGTTGCTGGGAAATTTTGATGGTGGTGGAAAAAAATTGTGAGGGTGAGAAGATAGAAATTTGTCAAACATTATCGCAGTTTGACCGAATTAAGAGACAATTGTTATTAACATCTTCCAGAGTGAAAAATTTTGAGGTCTGTAATTTATATGCCATTGGAAACACATTCCTGTTTCATGTGATGTGCAATTTTTAACATGTCAGTTACCTAGGTTTTCACACTTAAATCCAAAGGTTGTGATGAATCTGAATTTAGAAAACGTGATCTCTTAAACTTGGAACTACCTAGGTTCTTACTTCTGAGCATGTAAACCAAATTAAACTTCTTGTTTCCAATAACAGTGGCTGAATTAGTTGGTGGATGCACATCTTGGGGTGTAGTTAGATAGGTTGGGCTTAATGAGATTAATAGCGATTGAAGCTGTTAGTAGATAGGGTCTGGTTGGCTATTTTCTACTTTTTACATGTGAAAAGTAGTGTTCTTTGTTTAATTTGCATGTTAAATTTCCCACCTCTGAATGTTGTGTGAGTAACTCCCTCACCCACTCCCTGTGTTTTTAGATGATACAAGGTACCTATTTGGTAGCACCTTGAAATGTGTTAATTTTTAACAACTATATTTGTTAAAAATCACACTCTTTGTTGCTCAAAGTTAGGAACCAATGTGGTTAAGGGTTTCTTTTGGTGAAGTAACGCTCTTTAAAGAAGTTAGTGCTTCATAGTTCAAACGATGGTGCACAAAGTGATTCCTCCGCTAAATTTCAACATTAGTTGCATATTGTCTTGGCAACTGAGATCTCTTTTCAACCCTATTTGTATGTTTTGATTGCATTATATCTTGTTGATTATGTTTAGAGATACATATGTTAACAAGTCTCTGTGTGATTTTTTTGGCAGGAAGAGTGGTTGATGGACGGGAAATGGCTGTTCAATTCGCCAAATATGGGCCAAATGCAGAACGAATGTGAGTAACTGGTTCATTTGCATGTATATCATAAGCGTGTGCTTCAAATCTTCTATTGTGCATATTCTACCGGAGGTTTGAATGAATTGCATGGTCCTGTCCTCTCTCTTTTAATTACTTTAAAGGACCTCTGTCTTTCGCTGGGATAATTTGACTTTACCCCTTGATGTCTTGTTTATGGATTCTCTTATGTTTCTGATCTCATGCTTTTGTTTTATCTCAGTCACCAAGGGAGGATCATTGAGAAAGTTCCTGGCTTCAAGGGAAGCTCAAGAAGCAGAAGCCCTCGTAGAAGGTCGCCCTTTTCAACTGTATCTACCATGTCGTTCTTTGAACTCACCGTGTTTTTTGTATAGATATTTGCGAAGTTATTGATTATCATCCGCTGATTGTTTTTTCAAAATATTGTGGACCTTGCCCTTTGTTTGCCTGTTTTGACTACTTCAGTTGACATGGTAGGTCTTATAAGATAAGACAATTACAAAATATTAGGTCGAAGTATACTTACTCAAGTGGATGTGCTTTTTCAGTATTAGCTGGCTACTTCTCTTTGCTTTTGTTTCTAATATATAATTCTCTTAATATAAATATGTAGGAAAAGACAAAAGTAAATGAGGCTAAAATTATATCCAGATGTTCAGTTACTTACATGGGGAACAGGAAGGCAACTATGCTGTAAGCAGGCACAGTCTACTACATCATGACCAACACTGGTAAATAGGTTTACTAGAATGCAAAGGTAGCGAAAAATTGGTGACTGGACAATTGGCACTATTCAATGGACATAGGAAGGACTGAAGTTGACTTTGGGGGGAGGGATTATTAATACGTCTTTTCACGAACTACATTTGGTAGACGTAGTGTTGGTTTATGTTTAATTTATGCTAACCTTAGGTCGCCTAGTTATGGTACTACTCGTTACATAAACTGAGTTTACAGAAAGTGGTCATGCATCTGGTTAAATTGGAATTGTCAAAGTGGGTCTGACATGTAGAAAGTTAATTTTGTTACCATTGTCTACTCACAGTTATTATTCTAGTTTCTTTGCTAATTCGTGGCTGTATTTTATGGTTACTCATCTTTTCAACCCTTTGGTGGTTGAATATCTCAGTGACGAGCAAGAGGAAGATAATGGAGGAGAAGATGAACCTTTTCCTAGGAAAAAAAAGTAGGCAAAGAGTTAAGAGGAATAGATATTACGTCATATGAGGTTTTGTGAAAATCTCTGTTTTCAGGATATGGTGATTATCTATCATTCTGCGTATGACCGTGCTCGATTTTTTTTTGAGAATGGTAACAGATAATCTTATCAAAATATGTAGTCCCCCTTCAAAAGTATTACAACTTACACAGCTTGAACATCTACCTGTTGTTCCTAGAATAGTCTAAAACGGCTAAAATATCTTCTGTTTGATCTATTAATTTCTATTTACACCAAAAAAAAAAACAGAGCTAAACAATTCATTTTGAACTCCTGGAAGTTACTCTGCTTGTCTTCAAAACATCTCCTATTCCCTTTTTTCCACACTATCCACGAAATGAATGCAGGGACAATCTTCCATCTAAACAGAGCTTGACTTCTGTTCCTTCCTTCTTGCTTTAGCGTTCTTGGAAGTGTAATGTGTACTGTCTATTAGTTTTTGTGATAAACTTGACCACAAATTATATGAATAATTTGCACGTCTTAATAAAAAGTAGTAACAGAAGAACTAACCATGTGAAGTATTTTATTTTGGTGGTGTGCTGCAGTATTTTATTTTCAGCAATTTTCCTGATATTAGCTTAAAGTAAAACCTTTTAAGATGTTCTTCTCCTGCTTGGTTGTTGCATGCATTTTTCCTCAAGCTGTTTCGACCTCTTATCTTTTTTTGGTATCACCTTTTTTGGGGGAAAAGGTGTAAGAGCTTTAGATGTTTCTGGCGGAGCCGATGCATAGAAGTCATATGGACCATGTGGGAAGTAAGGAACTCTAGATATTGAAGGCAAACAACATTTAAGATTTCACAGTCCACTCTACTTATGTTTTCATTTTATCTTTTTTACATCTTTAAACCTATTTTTATTTCATAAGTTGTATGGTCCATGGAAGACTTCAAGAAAATGCCATTAGGTGATACGAATGTTTCGTTATATGATAATAAAATACCTTACTTAGAGTAGAAAGGGAGACCGTGTGATGCTCTCAAAACATAATTTACTTTGTAGAAGGAAAAAAAAACCCATTTCTATGCTCATCAAGTGCTTGACCTGCATATCTGGTGAAGCTAGAAGTGTGCTGTTTGTTATTTCGTATAGTTTTGCCTGGAGTCTAGCTTATGAGCTCAAAATGCAAGCTGAATACTGTGTTGCTAAGATAACACACACGGAAAACTGTACTAGGGAAAAGCTTGTCTGTAGATTATGTCCAGATGGTCTCTTAGTTGAATTATCTTCTGGTCCAATAATAACCGACAGCTATGTTCATTTAATGTACATCTGGTGATTGATCTTGGGTTTATGAGTTGGTTTTCACCTTCAACAGATACCGTGATGACTATCATAGAGATAGAGAATACAGGAGAAGTAGGAGCAGAAGTGTTGATCGCTATGAGCGTGATAGGTATCGGCAGAGAGAGCGGGACTATCGCCATCGGTCCAGGAGCCGCAGCTTAAGTCCAGACTATGATCGAGATCGTGGCAGGAGACGGGACAGAAAACATTATAGGCGGAGCCCATCAGTTGACAGGTTCACTTAATCTTATTATATACAATGTTTACCGTCTTGTGTTTGCATTTTTTCAGGCAGTTATTGTGAAATCTATTGTAGTGCCTCCCCATCTCGGCGTAGCCCCAGTCCTCACAGGAAAGAGTCTCCTCCTAGAAGCTTATCACCCACAAAAGGAAGTCCTGTGAGGCGTGTTCGCAATGAACGCTCTCCAACTCCTCGAAGTCGTTCGCCTCCAGGTCGAGCAATGGATTCACGAAGCCCTTCTCCTCGTGTTGATGAGGTGATATCACGAGCTTTGGTCTGATGGATCCTATTTTCTGATCAAATTCTATTTGCAGGTCATTTATGCTCTTCTTTTTCTTTCAAATTTTCAGGATTAGTTTTCTGGTGGCATAATATGAGAACAAGCAAACAAGTGCATCAACAACAACTTTAGCTTTCTTCTGAATGTGTTGAAACACAAAATGTGATGCAATTTCTAGGCAGAATATTAGCTGACATTTTGGTAGGACTGGTTTCCTGGTGTTAAATGTTTCTGTACTCTATGAACTGCATGCCTTTGCTATCTTTAAGTTTTGAATGTTATGGTACTAGGTTGTGAACTTAAAATGAGTCGTGATGCTGAAACTATATTGATGGAACACTTTTTGCACTGTTGCTTCTCTATATTTTTCTTACTGCTGTACTTCTCACTATAAGACAGTATTCTTCGTATGGGTGTACTAACTCTGTTACCAAACTCGTGCTGGGTTTTATAGTTATGATCGAGAGAAGGTTGGTGAGGTTGATATCAGATGATGATGATGGTGATATGGCTGCCAACCCTCATAACTATAGTTAGTTCGTGAAATTTGAGGAGGCTGATTGGTAGATTGTGTGTTGATTGACAGTGCTGATGGTTTAGCTGTTGACATGCAGCTTCTGATGCTGTTTGTAGTTAAATGTATTTGCAATGCTTGAACAGCAGATGCTGGCTGGAGATTTTCTCTGTGCACCCGTGTGTAATTTATTGGGTAAGACTTTTTTTCCGGTCGAGAGTTCACAAGTCTCATCATGTTTTCATCCATAGAAAAGGAGCTGATCACGTTCTTATATTAAGTATAAAAATAAGCTTCATCCAAGGATTAGTTTTCCCAAAGAATGTAACTTCTCTTTCTAGCTAGTTCTTTTCCTTTTTTTTTGGGTAGTCTTTTGCTAAGTTTGGTGCATATAAATTGTCTCTAAAAAGGGATCGGACGCAACTGGAAATGTAGGATGGACAGAGGATGAATCTACCTCTGTGCCTGATGCTGCTAGTGAGGTGTCCCATTAGCAAAGCTGATGCTAGTTGTTGCACATGCTGGCATGTGGTCTATTTTGCCCCCAACGTGCATGACTGATGAAAAATATCATACCCTAACCAGTCAGATGATCATGTCTTGTTGTGATGCTTTTGTTGACATTTTCTTGCTCGTTGATCGTGATTGTAGCTGAATGAAAGGCAGGTTCATTGTCCGTTCAAACATCCTTTTAGCTTCTGGGTGCCTCTGATCTTCCAGAACTTCACTTGATCTTATGTTATACTATATGTGGCTGATGGTCTGCTTGGTGATTCAGCTTCAGTGCGTTTTATTTTTGGTGTTTGTGGTGTTCAATGTTGCTCTACCAAGTCAAGGTTATTGCAGCTTCTATCTTTAAACCGTAAAAACCAATGACTTTGTTGGTTGAAGAATCCCTAGTTGAATATAGATGAGGTTGGTACTACTTATGTGTTTTGTGCATCTCAATGTTTTTTTTATTAGTAATAATATACACAATAGGCAGTGACTGGACATTGCTGAAGGTAAAAGCTGTGGTCGACTTTTACAACTTCTTTGTAGTGCTGTAAAATATTGATCCAAAAGAGTGGATTTTGTCTGCGGATTCTATCCAGCATCATCTCGTTCTACTGTTGCCGCTTGAGTTGTGGTTAGTAGTGTTTGCCATTGTGCAGTTTGACCGTGTATAGCTATGCTTCCATTTCTTGCAGTTGCATGTTTATTTGACCGTGTATAGCTATAGTTTTGGGTTTGATTAGACATCTGAATATCTTGTGTAGTCTGTAATGTCAGTTGGTCGTATGGTGCTCATATTGGGAAAGGTATGTGTCCCTGATTTTTGGAGAAAACCATTTCCACTAGGAAAATAGTATGTTGAGTATGGATCTCTGGTTGTCTCTCTGCTTTTAATTTATTTCAATCTACTTTATTCGACCTTCCGACATGTTTTCTACCGTCCGATACTCGAAAAAAGCAAATATTATATTTATATTCTCTAGAGTAATATTGCTTGTTAGCTATTAACTTATGTGGGTCCTTACAGCTTAAATTTGTGTAAATTAAATTCGATGACCACCTTTTGAACTGCTTGTTAGTGATATTTGGTGACCATTTGGGAATAGTGGGAAATGGCCACGTTTCAATTCAATTTGAATGAATATACCATGCAGCACAAATGGAGCAAGTGAAATTTCGAGTAGTTCTCCTGTAGTTGGTTCACGGTGTTTGATTCTAACTTTAAAAAAAGCTTTGAATTATGTCGTGTTTCTCTTTTATTCCATGTAGTAGTAATTTTGGATATATTTTATTTTCGTGTAAAAGAAGAATTTATACGTTAAATATTTCAGGACATGGAATACCATTTATCCGGGTCTACAAATGACAGCTATTTGCTCACTTCCCCCTAATTTGTTTGGTACGGAATGTATGATGCAACAACTTTCTTTTATTGTGATTTTCTTTATAATTGAAGGAGAGTGTTTAGCATTTAGCGTTGAAGCGGAAGTATTCGTCATCCTATTATGATAATTTGTAAGGCATCCCATCCCGGTTTGTAGACTGTGTCCGTCTTAATGTACTTTTTAATATTTTCTAATTTGATGTCCTTTTTGACTAAATATATATGAGAATCTATTAGTTAATAGGGTTAAAATAGTGAATTCACTATACCAATCAACATTTCTTTAATAAGTTGTGCTAAGTCAAAATCTGACAAGTAAAAAAGGACACCGGGTGTAATTTAGAAGGCCAGCAAGCATGAACTGTCCGTTAGCAAGAAAGGGGTAATTATGATATGATACGTATTAGTAGTGTCATGACTTATTGTCGAGATCTAATTTTGGCTCTTAACTCCAAGATTAGCATTGGCTGTACAGATTATTGCTGAGAACTTTTTAGGGCTACTGAGTATAAATTTGTCTAATGTTTTTGATGGTTTGGATATTCCTCACCATACTTTAAAACTAATGGACTGCACACCACATCAAGATGTCAAAAATTATGAAGTTGTCACAGCCTTTGTTTGGGTCGTTCAATCGGTGACTCGTATTAATGTTTTGTCACAATAATTCGGCTTTGATTTGCAAAATCCAGAAGAGAGGATCGGGTAAAGGATCACAATAAATTAGATAATAAAACACGCCATTTATATCCTAAGACTTGATATTGAAGCTATAAATACAAATGGGGGTCCTAAGACGGTTGTAACTGATATCTAAGATATATTTGGTTGTTAGTTGTGGTACTGCTATTGTACCATTGAATGAAGAAAAGAAGCAGAACATAAAAGTTGGCCACAGCAGAATTACTGAATATCCTACTTTCAGGTACAGCATTAGAAAACAAAATTTTGTTTAATATACAACGAAATGGTACAAGATGACATGGTAATTACGATCATCATAGACTCTCCTCCTTACTCATTCATCGGAAGAATTGGAGCCTTTGCCTCCAAGTGTCTGAATAATGGCCTCTAAAAGTTTAATTTCCTTGTCTCGCTTGGATATCTCTTCTTGCTTTGCACGCAGCTCTTCCATGTGCAGCTCAAATACTCCTGCAACCACAGAGGAGCACGTAAGTGCAAATCCATTTGGTGAGCACATGGCTGGAAATAACAAGACCCAATTCTCTGATAACTCCAAATGACGATTGTGTATTATAATGTTCACTCTTGTTTTACAACCAAATGAAACCAATTAGGTCTTAGACAGATAAGACATACTTGTGGTATTTTCAAGCTCTTTTGTAACCTCTTGGGCACGTAGTTCAGCAGCTTTCTGAGCCACCTCAACCTGTCTTTTCTCAGTCCGTGCATGAGCAGCAGCAGAAATAGCATTATCTAATTCTCGCTCTAAAGTCTGAACTCTTTGTTCAAGAACCTGTAGCCATAGAATAGTCATTAACTTTAAAATAGTTGGAGCAGGTATACAACAACATTTTACGCCCTGTCCCGAACAAAATGAATTTTCAATGTTTCTCCATTTAAACTCATCTCAAGCTAAATATAATGTAAAACCAACACAATTGATAAAAGTTCCTTTTATTTTGTTAGTAGAAATTTTCTATTAGCATATATTTCCTGGGTGAGCTAAGAAAATCCTACAAAGCATACAACCTAAACTAACGGTATTGATATACATAGAGCATAATTTCAACTAATTGGTATAATCTATATAATAATTTTCTTCCATACCCCTTGTGATAACTATACGGGGTATGTCGTATGTTGTGTATTTTGCTTTGTCTTTCTCTAAGTCTGCGAGGATTTCAGGAGCTTGTAAATCCTTAAAAACAGCTTCCCTTCACTTAATTTTAGGTTAGTATCATCTAGAGGTCGACATAGGATATGACCAAACAGTCTCAAGTGACCTCCTCTTATTTATCCTTGATGTGGTTTTACTTGCGATTGCGGGCAAATGTGGACACTTTTAGTCGTATCTGATCTTATACTACTGCAAACTCATTTTAGCATCAACAGAATCTTAATTCAGCACTCATTTTCCACCCCGTGCAATTGTCATCAATGCCTGAGCTTCTATTATCCCTTACTACTCCCCAATTCCCATCAAGTGCTGTCTTATTTCCCAAGCCACTGCTCAATCCTCCTTATCTGATTGATTGAAAGTAGCAAGGAAAGACAAGCAAAAACTTTGAGGTTCAAAATCTGGCTGGCGTCAGTCCTCATTCGATCCCTCTCCTCTATCTACAATAATAGTTCCTTTGCTCTTGCTGTAATTTTCACAGAAATAGTTCCAAGGTGAACTCACTAATGTGCTTGCTTTTATATCTAATAAGATACAGCCTGCTGATCTATCCTTCTTTTCTTCACCGACTTTAAGCTTTTCCTGGTTTTCCTATTCAACTTCATTGCATCTCTTTCAGTTTCCGGAGACATTACTTCGAGATCAAAGCTGAACCTGACACTGTAGGTAATTTAAATGAATAAGCTTTTTTTCTCATTTAAATAGATGACACTTTGCCTTTCTTATCTTTGTTCTTGCATGAAATAGTTGTTTCCTTGTAATTTGTTCATTTACGCTGAAATCAAAGCAACAGCTTAGATGGTATCCAACAACCTATTCAAATTCAACTAGGGGACCCAAGTTATCCAAATGTTTCTGTTTCCTCTTGTGCCCACATTTTGGCTTATATTAAAGTCACAATTGCAGTTGTCAATTTAGGACACTAGGATGCCTTGGAAAGGTGCAGACACCATCTGGAGCTAGTGGAGCTAAAAGGATTTTTGAAGTCTCCGGGTCATTTTCCTTTTAAGCGCCAAATCTTTATAACATGTTTGCTCACGGTTTCCAAAATGTCTAGATATTTACACACTACTCAGTGGGACTCTAATGTGATAGCTTAGATAATGTAACTTGCATTATAATAAGATTTGACTAGTGAAGGGGAGTCTTAAATCAAGATCTAATAGTTCTTAAGAGTCTTGTACTGAGCTTTCTTCAACCTTTTAGTTAGCGTCTTAATGATCTGATTTAGTGCTCAAGTTGCACTATGTTTCTTGTGTTCAGTGTAGCTCAACATAAGATTCCTCTGTTTGTCTACTAGAAACAGCTCAATAGTACAAAAAAAAAGGGCAGCCATTTCCTCTAGCAGAAGAGTTGATCTAACAGCGGGTTGTAGACATCTACTCAGCTTGATTTCTAAGCTAATTTACTATGATGAGAGTTTAATTCCAACCAACATACTCCTACGTATATGCATTATATTATCAAAAGGATATGGAGAGACAAATCAAAAGCTTTAGAAAATAAAACATAAAAGAAGATTCCTCGCACAGGATCTTAGACTACGCTAAAACAGGAATTTTCCTAGTTGACCTAGACTTGCTAACTTTTTTTTTTTTTTTATGAAGTAAATGTATTACATGCTAACTTTCTGCACTTCATAAACACAAACAAAGTTTTTCAGATAAGCACCTACTCTTCTCTTGCATAGTTCTTTTTCTTTTGTTCTTATCCATCACTATACTTAAAGTCTGCTATAACAAAAGTTCCGAGCAGGTCCTCTCTGAATTAAAACGAATCTAACATAGTTTTGTAAGATTTGAGTATATGGCTTGCTGCATCAGACTCTTTATGTCTAATTAAAACAATTATGGAGGGCATCCCAAAAAATTGACAATCAGTAGATAACAATTTTCATGCACCAATAACAAAATAAACTAGTGTTATATGCGAGATTGCGAGCTCATTGATATTCGGATTCATTCACCATTAAGGCATTAACAGATTGCCTTTTCCAACTGATCAAACTCTCAATATTACATCCAGAAAACAAAATCAACAAACTAGACAGAACAATTCACCATCTCAAAACAAAACTCAGCTAGTCAGATATAAACAAGTCATCAAAATTAAGTTAATTGAATAGATGAACCTTAATAGTGCGGGCTTGTTCGGAGGTGAGAGAAACTTTGGCAAAAGTGTCGTCGTCGACGAACACTGCTTTCTTCACAAGTAGCTTTTGGAGTGAGTTCAGATTGGACGTCATCTCCGATAGATTTCCGATCGCAGCGCTCCATCTCTCACTCCCAACTTTCCCCTTCTCCTCCATTTCCCCTCTTTCTCTCCGAACCGGGGCTGGATCCTTGAGTATATCACAGTTGACCCGCTAGTTCGAGCAACTTCCTCTTTGGTCCCTTGAGTTATTTTTACTATAGATTGATCCACAAATCCAATTTGTTGACAATAGGCGACCATCATATTTTCTGGGGAAAAAAAGTTATTTCTGGCAACCAAATATCAAAAATAGAGTTTTCAAAAAAAGGAAAATTATATATAATAAAAAAATTATTAATTTAAATTAAATGTCATAATTGCGATTTGATTTAATTGTACGTTGTAACAAATTGTTGTTATTTCGCTTCTCTCATAGTGAAGCTCGCTCGCCACTCTCGACAGTCTCTCCCTCGTCTCTCTTATTTTTATACAAATACAAATGTATTAAATGTGTTTTTGTTTGTTTTCAGTGAAATAAAATTTTATATATATATATATATATATATATATATATATATATATATATATTATATATATATATATATATATATATTCCTCTCTCTCCCCTCTATCAGATCTCACTCGTCACTCTCATTCGCTTTTATATTTCTGTTTGTATAAAATGTTTTATACAAACGCAGATATACAATTGATTCGTATATGTATACTCACCTCTATGTTTCTGTTTATATAAAGCGATTTAGACAAATGCCGATATACAATTGATTTGTATACGTATATCGTAATATACACATTAATAACCATGTTCGCATATGTATATAGATTTATACATATAAATAGTCATTCAAATATGTATAGCGAAATGTACATATTAATAGTCATTTGTATATGTATAGCGAATTATATAAATCACTAGCTCCGTAGCAAACTTTGGTGCAATAATATAAACTATAGTTATAGCTAATTACACTATAGCCCCCTTTTTTTTTTCTACAAATAATCTTACAACGTCAAGAAAATGAAAAGATTTTCAAATCAAATATGGCAAACAGTGGTGTTGTCAATGGTGTTGTTTCGATAACACTAATAAAAAATCTAGTGTAATTAACATATATCCCGCACACCAAATATGCGAGCGAGAATAGAAGAAAAGTGAGGGCGTGATATTTGTATATGTATCCTAGATATATACGAACATACTTGGAAAAAATGTATCTAATACAAATAAACCTAATTTTGAGTTCATATATTTCGAAAAATATGTATCTGAACGTACCAAATTCTGATAAGATTCACAATATTACAACATAGCATATATTTAAGTAATTAGATTATATATTATATTGAAATTTACCATCGATTAAAAAATGTTGGCACATGAACCGACCTCAAACAAGCATGAAGAACCAAGAACTTATTTGTGTCGAACTTATAACCCTTGATTTTAAATGGACTTGAAAAATGTTATTTCAAACTCTACCTAATAACAAATTGAGTTGGACCTGCCCATGAGCTATGCCATTTAAGTTTTAACAGCTCTAATAAAAAAATATATTTTTATTGAAAGGATAATAAAATGATCATTTCTCTCACTCAAGTCATTTGAACTGGAGTTGTAGTTGATTACTTTTAGAATGTATTAATTAGATGAAAAATGTTCTCTAAAACATTATTATTGTGTTTATTTCAATACTTTTCTCTTTGCATAATTACTCCTTTTATTTTATTTCAGTTAACCTCATTAAGAAAATAGATATTTTATTTCTTATTCATGGAAGCAAGTAAAAAAATTAATAAAATAAAATTCATACTACTTTAATACTTAAATAACTGCATAATATATTATAGTCAAATGTATAACTTTTAAGAGTAATAAGGTTAGTTTCATATATACTCCTAATTTAAAAAATAAAATAAAAAGTGCAATGAATTGATATTAATCGAAGTAATATAAAAATTAATGAAGTAATGAAAAGGTTGTTTAGCTTTTTAAAAGATATCAACTATAGGAGTAAAATGGAAAATTCTAATTAATTTTATTTTACTTAGACAAATAAATATGTTGTTTAAAGTAATTATTCGTAATTAGGTGGACAGTAAGTAACTAAATATAAACGTAGACAACTAATCACTTTCATTTTGCTTCAAATTTTATATTAATCGTGGGTTTACCTGCCAAACTCACAAAGATTGACTAGCCAATTATTGAAATACTAGTTGTATCCACATAAATTTATCTATAATTATATAAGTACATGCAAACTTCAATCCACATCCACATATTTTCTTAATTAGAACATTTTCAATTAATGAAATAATGTTTATATTTGCACAAGCCTGACTCTACTTTTCAGACGAGATCACATGTATCGAATATGTATATTAGAAAATGCTTATTATTGATTTAGGGCTCAAAGAAGCCAAATTCAATCTAGACAATGCTTATTATTGATTTAGGGCTCAAAGAAGCCAGATTCAATCTAGACAAGGAAGCTTACTTTTTTAAGATTGATTCGTTCTATTCAAATTTAGCTATGATTATTTTAAGAAAGTGCTTAGATCAATAACATGTTGCATGAAAAAGCATCAACTCTTTTTGTAGGATTTTTGCATAGCTGTCCACCTAAAAACTAATTTCATTCTATAAATATAGTCAAAGAAAATAAATATCTACTAGCCTACACTCATCATACCTTTTCCTTTTTACATTCAAATACAAATTAGCAAAATAAGCGGAGGTGGTATGTCGCATATGATTAAACGGATTAAATTGAACCCAACTTTTTTTTTAATAAAATATAACTATATATGCATAAATGTTAATTCGAAGCTGATATGAAATATTAGTTCGAATTAGATATGAAATTTTAATGATTTAATAAACTTATCGATCTAATAAGGAACGAATGAGATCTTTGTTAGTGAAACTGCTCATAGTGAAATGATTTAATAAAATCAGTGTGAGGAATTTTGCGTGATCATCAAAAAGGGGAAAAATGTTATATTCTAGGTGTTTTGATGATCCTCACAAATGTAGGGACCTAGTCCCTAGCAGAGTGTTCTTGCCCAGATTCAAATGAGGTACAACTGTGAAGTTGTTATGTCAGGTGGTAGGTGAAAAGTGCAGTGTCCTACACCAATAGAAAGAGCGGACAAGATTTTCTATTTCAATGTCTCACAAACAAAGGGACACGGTCCCTTGTTAAGTTCTCTCGTCCAGATCCATTATTGGGAACAACTATAAAGTTGTTTGTCAGAGGTTGATAAGGCGTCAGCGTACTACACTAATTAAAATGGACGCAGTTGTTTGTCTAACGATCAATAACTCTTTGTGGTTGACTTAGTCAATATGCCAAACAACAAATAAGTTCATTCATTCGAAGATGGAAGTCAGCCGACAAGTCATTCAAAGAACTCATAAAGAAGTTTCCAAGGGACCTAGTCCCTGCAAGATTGCGATATGAAAAGGTGACAAGACAATCGTTAGAAATGTTGTAACCTTTGATGTGGTATGTACGCATCTTTTCTCACAGCAGGCCTTCAGCCAATGGGATGGTCTCAATGAGTTTGTGATGATTTATTATCTCTTTCCAACAAACAAAAACTCAAGATTTGGCAAACTAAAACTCAAAATGCTTAAAAGAAAAGACCATCTTTAAGGAAGAATTCAAGCACAAGAATACATACAACAAGGACCTGATCAAGAGAAGAAGTGTTTTCCGTACATGCTGTTTGAATGTTTGTATTGAACTAAACTTGTAGGATTCGTTTCATTGTTTGTTAGAAACGTTTCAAACCTGGTTTGAGTCTTGTAAGAACATAGTTAGGAGTAACTTTGTGTCATACTGTAAAAGTCTATATTAATCAGTTGGGTTAGTATAGTGCGCGGTGTGGTTTCCGCTTAGTTGAAGTCTAAGTTATGTAGGGTAATAGCTTAGTGGGTAGTGTTGTATTTGCTCTGTCTTGTGTAAGTAATAGCTGGTATTGCTTATTAGTGTAGAGATTAGTAGGCTAATCTCATTTGTTAACTGGCTTTCGCTTTGCTTTGAGAAGATTAGTGGAAGCATTTGAAAAGTCCTGTTGAGACAGATCGTGGTTTACTCCCTTGAGCAAGGAGGTTTTCACTTAAAATTGTTTGTTCAATCTTTACTTTCAGCACTTATTTTACTATTCGTCATTGTAACTGTGTTGAGGACTTGATCTCATCGAAACAAGTGAACGCATATTTTAGTTATTGTTCTTGCTGGGTCAAGGAACCTGATCCTTGACTCACAAGTGTACACATACATTTCAACAATAAATTGTAAAATAATTAACAAATTATAATCGATAAATTAACTATTTTAAAAATATAATGGATCAAGTGATCAATCAACCCCTAAAAAATTGAAATCACTAAATTAAAATTCTAAATTCACCCCTAAAAATAAATCGTCCTAATATATACCTCAACATCCCTGCTCAAATTACTACGAACAAATTAGTGATGTGTGCTGTTTTTCTTTCATAATTAGTTGATGTGTGTATATTGATTCTTTTCGTAATAAATCGCAGAAATAACTATTTCCAAACTACCATATTCTGAACATTATAAAGAGAACGATTCTTCATCTTTTTCTTACATTGATGATAAAATAAAAACACTAATTAAGAATATTTAATCAAATGCATACAAGCAAATTTATACAACCAATAAATTAATCACCTCTTTATTGCTTAAAAATTTATATTAAAAGTGAGTTAACCGGCCAACCTCACAAGGATTGACTGGCCAATTATAGCAACACTATATGCATCCACAATATTTATCTATTAATACACATAATAGATGCCAATTTAGTTTCAATCTCCATCCTTACATTTTCTATCTAACATGTTCAATTAATAAACGAATAATATATTTTGCACAAGCCCTGGCTTCACTTTTTCAGCCAAGGTCACATGTAGGAGCATCATAATATTATAATTATGATGTCACAGATTAGTTTATCTGCAATTTTGTAGAATATTTGTTATTTCTAACCCATAATAAAACATGCATGAATAACTGTTGAAAAAGATAAAAGTTTTTTTCCCCCTAACCTACGTGTATCGAGTATATATTAGACGCTCCTTTTCATTTTTGCATCCAAGTGCAAGATTAGGCAAAATAACTAAAGGCGG